TGGTGGTTAGCGTGTGGTGGTGGTGGTTAGCGTGTGGTGGTGGTGGTTAGCGTGTGGTGGTGGTTGGCGTGTGGTGGTTCGGGTCAACACTGGTGTTGCGTGCGGTCATTGCGAGGCCTTAACCCTCCCGTGCGTGTGGCCAGTGTTCTCGCCTGTGTCAATGTAGGAGGAAGCTTTAGCTCTGGGACCCCGCCTTCCCCCGCAATTGGCGGTTAACGAATGCAGTGGCAGGCCTTAATTTCTCGTGTCAGTGTCTACTTATTTTAAGTTGTAATTGTTTGGCAATTTTGTTTACCCCCCCTCACACACACACGCACGCGCGCGCGCGCACACCACACACACACACACACACACACACACACACACACACACACACACACACACACACACACACACACACACACACACACATATACACACGCATGATGCATAACTAACGAGGAGGGTTGAGACAAAGAGGGTTTGTAAGAATCTCCAGGATGACTTGAACAGGTTGTAAAGCTGGTTTAAAAAATGGCTGCTAGAGTTCAATACAGCAAGTGCAAGGTGATGTAAATGGGGGGGACACGAGTGAGGAGATCGAAAAGCTAATATACGGTGAAAGGGAACTACCTCCCTATAACGACTAGAGAACAAGAACTGGTCAGTGGTCAACTCTGGACCTAACTCCAGGGGCTCATATAAACATAACATCATCAGCAGCATACTCTCTACTCTGGCAGAGTCAGACCATCCTTCACAAACATGAATAAGGAGGCTTCTAGATCACTGTATACCACCTATGTGAGGCCAGTCTTAGAGTATGCCGCACCATCCTGGAGCCCTATCTAAACAACACATAAGGAAGCTCGAAAAGGTGCAAAAGTTAGCAACGAGACTCGTCCCAGAGCTGCGAGGGATGAGGTACGAAGTCAGACTGAAGGAACTAAACCTGACGACGTAACAAAGGAGGACGGGAAAGGGGGACGGACGTGACACAGACGTATAAAATACTTAGAGGGATTGACAGGGTGGAAACAGAGGAATTGGTTACAATGAATATCAACAGAACAAAGGGGCACAGATGGAAGCTTGAGACTCAGATGTGTCATAGAGATGTTAGAAAGTTTTAAGGATAGCATAAAGGATAGTGAGTAAATGGAATGACCTAAAGGAGCAGGTTGTAGAGGCTAATTCCATTCATAACTTTAAAAACAGGTATGATAGGGAAATAGGTCAGGTGTCATTGTATTAGGCAACCAACGGTTAGAAAAACGGGGCCCAAGAGCCAGAGGTCGATCCTGCAGGCACAAATAGGTGAGTACACACACACACACACACACACACACACATATAATCATTGGTTCATCCAGGTTAATGTGTTTCTTTGTTTTGTTTCAGTATCAAATTAGAGGCGGATAAAACTAGTGCAGGAAAAGTCTGAAATGCAAAGACATTACGTTATGGTGAGTGTTTCTTTGTTTATTTGTTCCTAATATTAATTCTGATGCTGTAACGCCTAGGTGTGAATATATATATATATATATATATATATATATATATATATATATATATATATATATATATATATATATATGTCGTACCTAGTAGCCAGAACGCACTTCTCAGCCTACTATGCAAGGCCCGATTTGCCTAATAAGCCAAGTTTTCATGAATTAATTGTTTTTTCGACTACCTAACCTACCTAACCTAACCTAACTTTTTTGGCTACCTAACCTAACCTATAAAGATAGGTTAGGTTAGGTTAGGTAGGGTTGGTTAGGTTCGGTCATATATCTACGTTAAATTTAACTCCAATAAAAAATAAATGACCTCATACATAATGAATTGGGTAGCTTCATCATTTCATAAGAAAAAAATTTGAGAAAATATAATAATTCAGGAAAACTTGGCTTATTAGGCAAATCGGGCCTTGAATAGTAGGCTGAGAAGTGCGTTCTGGCTACTAGGTACGACATATATATATATATATATATATATATATATATATATATATATATATATATATATATATATAATATATTATATATATATATAATGGGGCCTTTAATAAATGTGACCATGGAGCGAGAACTATAAAATGAGATCGTTAGAAATAACGGGTTTAGTTATTCGATGTTAAATTTCGCGTTAAACAGATTGTAAAAAGTGTAACATTCAAACCCAAATCCTCCCCAAGCACAGTGAGACGCTCCGTATCTCTCAGGGCACAGTGGTTGCACCACTGCTTTTTCCTTGTCATATCAGGTATAGTGAGAAATGTGTCCCAGCTCTATCCTTGTCTGAAGTTGAGGAACTCTCGAAGCCCTATCCAGGTGTGGTCCAGGTAAGCAGTCTCTTGGGACCAGGGCCGCGACTAGTAGGCTTGTAAATCTGTATATATGGAGACATTTAGTCCTAACAGTAGAAGCAGCACTAAGGTCACGTGTATACCCACCTGATATATATATGTTGTACCTAGTAGCCAGAACGCACTTCTCGGCCTGCTATGCAAGGCCCGATTTGCCTAATAAGCCAAGTTTTCCTAAATTAATATATTTTCTCTAATTTTTTTCTTATGAAATGATAAAGCTACCCATTTCATTATGTATTAGGCCAATTTTTTTATTGGAGTTAAAATTAACGTAGATATATGACCGAACCTAACCAACCCTACCTAACCTATCCTAACCTATCTTTATAGGTTAGGTTAGGTAGCCGAAAAAGTAAAGTTAGGTTAGGTAGGTTAGGTAGTCGAAAAACAATTCATGAAAACTTGGCTTATTAGGCAAATCGGGCCTTGCATAGTAGGCTGAGAAGTGCGTTCTGGCTACTAGATACGATATATATATATATATATATATATATATAATATTATAATTGTGTGTGAGTGTGTGTGTGTGTGCGCGAACAAGCTTGAATGGTCCCCAAGCACATATGCAAATGAAAACTCCACATCCCAGAAGTGACTCGACCCCGGACCTCCAGGACCACATTGCAACTGATGTCACGGTGCCTTAATCCACTCGACCATCAGTGACCGCACATAAGGTGGTGATAGCCGAAGCTATTTGACCCCCCCCCCCGCGGCACTGTGGTAATCTTGGGCATAGCTATTTCATCAAGTCATTTCATTTTAGTGGGACCACGTGAGCAACAGAAATGCGAACAAGCTTGAATCGTCCCAAAGCATATATGCAAATTAAAGTTCTCTCTTGAACACTGTGAGGGGTCGGCCAGTTATGTGTAGTGGAAGCGTGTTGAACAGTCTCGGGCCTCTGATGTTGATAGTTCTCTCTTGAACACTGTGAGGGGTCGGCCAGTTATGTCCCTTATGTGTAGTGGAAGCGTGTTGAACAGTCTCGGGCCTCTGATGTTGATAGTTCTCTCTTGAACACTGTGAAGGGTCGGCCAGTTATGTCCCTTATGTGTAGTGGAAGCGTGTTGAACAGTCTCGGGCCTCTGATGTTGATAGTTCTCTCTTGAACACTGTGAGGGGTCGGCCAGTTATGCCCCTTATGTGTAGTGGAAGCGTGTTGAACAGTCTCGGGCCTCTGATGTTGATAGTTCTCTCTTGAACACTGTGAGGGGTCGGCCAGTTATGTCCCTTATGTGTAGTGGAAGCGTGTTGAACAGTCTCCTCTGATGTTGAGAGAGTTCTCTCTGAGTACCTGTTGCACCTTTGCTCTTCAACGGGGGTATTCTGCACATCCTGCCATGCCTCCTGGTCTCATGTGGTGTTATTTCTGTGTGCAGGTTTGGGACCAGCCCCTCTAATATTTTTCACGTATAGATTATTATGTATCTCTCCCGCCTGCGCTCAAGGGAGTACAGATTTAGGCTCTTTAGTCGGTCCCAAGAGCTTAGATGTTTTACTGAGTGGATTCTAGCAGTAAAGGATGTCTGCACCTAGAGCACCTTTTATTAGTCTTTAGTATACGAGGTATACTGATATCTTCAGTATACCTTCAGTAAGCGGCCTCGTAGCCTGGTGGATAGCCCGCAGGACTCGTAATTCTGTGGCGCGGGTTCGATTCCCGCACGAGGCAGAAACAAATGGGCAAAGTTTCTTTCACCCTGAATGCCCCTGTTACCTAGCAGTAAAATAGGTACCTGGGTGTTAGTCAGCTGTCACGGCCTGCTTCCTGGGGGTGGAGGCCTGGTCGAGGACCGGGCCGCGGGGACACTCAAAAGCCCCGAAATCATCTCAAGATAACCTCAAGAAGAAGATACCTTGAGTACGTCAGGCTGCGAGCAGCCGCGTCTAACAGCCTGGTTGATCAGTCCAGCAACCAGGAGGCCTGGTCGACGACCGGGCCGCGGGGACACTAAGCCCCGGAAGCACCTCAAGGTAGCCTCAAGGTAGGAGTATATCTGAAGTGGACTTGTGATAACTTAGATAACAGGCATCTGCTCTTAAGATACTTCAGTGATGAACTATCAATTAAAATGATACTGTCTTAAAGACTGAGAGACAACACCTTAAGATAGACTGAGTTGACTTTATCATTGAATTTAAACATAGGAGAAAACAATACAAATAATCAGGGAACTTAAAAAAAAATGTAAACACGGGTAAACTTAAAACAAGACTTTTATACTTGTTAATTTAAAAGCGAGTTTACTTGGAACTGAGGAATATTGAAGTACCATCTTCACCGTACGAAAGTGAATGGCTGTCTTTACTCAGACCCACGCACACACACACACACACACACACACACACACACACACACACACACACACACACACACACACACACACACACACACACACACACACAACCCGTTACCCCGTGTTTTACACAACCCGGCAATATCAACTCACAACGATACGTTGAGTGGAAAGCAAATATGAGGAGAGTTTACCTTCGGTTAAAAATTTGCCAATTTCAGGGCACCCATCAACTACCTTCAGCCCTCACCTGGCTTTCCTAATCCACCTGGCTTCCTCTGAGACCCATTCCGCAGTCCCAAGCCCAATCACCGGCTTTTCCCCACATAATTCCTTCCTTCATTACTGCGAGGTATGTGGGGGAACACCTGTGGTGGGCTTGGAACTGTGGAGTGGGGTTCACAGGAAGCCAGGTGGATTGGGAAAGCATCTCCCAATGTACATCTGATTGGAGGTTTGCTGTGTCTTCTATATTGTCTAATCGCACCCAAATCATAGTGTCGTCTGCAAATAATGGTACAGTGCTGTTGTCTGTATCCTTGTCTGTCTGATATTAGGATGAGATAAAGTACCGGAGCAAGTACGGTGCTTTGAGGGGACCGAGCTTTTCACAGTAGATGATCCAGATTTGACTATTGTTGCTATTACACTCTGCGTTCTGTTCGTTAGGAAATGAAGATCTACCTCTCTACTTTGTCAGTAATTCCATTTGCACGCATTTTGCACGCAATAACAGCTTAAGTCACAGCTTCGTATCATCTGTTGCAGATGACACAAAAATCAGCATGAAAATTACCTCTGCTGAAGACAATGAAAAACTACAAACAGATATTAACAAAGTTTTCGATTGGGCAGCATAAAATAACATGTTTAACAGCGATAAATTTCAGGTACTCAGGTACGCAAAAATGAGGACCTGAAACATAATACAGGGTACAAAACACAATCGAATCTGCCCATAGTAGAAAAACAGCAAGTCAAGGATTTGGGAATAATGATGTCCGACGACCTAATGTTTAGGGAGCATAACCAAGCAAATATTGCGTCAGCCAGGAAAATGATCGGATGGATTACGAGAACTTTCAAATCCAGGGATCCCATCACAAAGGTTGTACTCTTCAAGTCACTTGTGTTGTCCCGTCTTGAGTACTGCTCAGTACTCACTTCCCCCTTCAGAGCAGGAGAGATTGCTGAAACAGAGGGAATACAGAGAACATATACGGCACGCATAGACGAGATAAAAAGCCTAAATTATTGGGATCGTCTCAAAGCTCTCCAAATGTACTCTCTAGAAAGGAGACGAGAGAGATACCAAATAATATACACATGGACAATACTGGAGGAACAGGTCCCAAATCTACACAGTAAAATAACAACATACTGGAGTGAACGATATGGAAGAAAATGTAGAATAGAACCAGTGAAGAGCAGAGGTGCCATAGGCACAATCAGAGAACACTGTATAAACATCAGAGGTCCACGGTTGTTCAACGTCCTCCCAGCGACTATAAGAAATATTGCCGGAACAACCGTGGACATCTTCAAGAGGAGACTGGACTGTTTCCTCCAAGGAGTGCCAGACCAACCGGGCTGTGGTGGGTATGTGGGCCTGCGGGCCGCTCCAAGCAACAGCCTGGTGGTCCAAACTCTCACAAGTCAAGCCTGGCCAGCCTCGGGCCGGGCTTGGGTAGTAGAACTCCCAGAACCCCATCAAGCAGATCAAACAAGCAGATGGAGGAGTTTAAAAAGTTAACCAGTTCATTTACTGTGGTTCATTGTAAGACCCGATTAACATCAGATTGGAGGTTTGCTAATGTCCTCTATGTTGTTTACCTTCTTACCTTGTGTCTGCCTTCCGGGGATCAACGGCCCCGCGGCCCGGTCTCCGCCTAGGCCAACTCTGTCTACTCTCAAAAATCTTAGTGTCATCTGCAAAGGATGATACAGTACTATAATGTGTGTCCTTGTCAATGTCCGATATGAGGATGAGAAAGTACTGGAGCAAGCACAGTACCCTGGGGGACGTGAGTACTGGAGCAAGCACAGTACCCTGGAGGACTGAGTACTGGAGCAAGCACAGTACCCTGGAGGACTGAGTACTGGAGCAAGCACAGTACCCTGGAGGACTGAGTACTGGAGCAAGCACAGTACCCTGGGGGACGTGAGTACTGGAGCAAGCACAGTACCCTGGAGGACTGAGTACTGGAGCGTACCCTGGAGGACTGAGTACTGGAGCAAGCACAGTACCCTGGAGGACTGAGTACTGGAGCAAGCACAGTACCCTGGAGGACTGAGTACTGGAGCAAGCACAGTACCCTGGAGGACTGAGTACTGGAGCAAGCACAGTACCCTGGAGGACTGAGTACTGGAGCAAGCACAGTACCCTGGGGGACGTGAGTACTGGAGCAAGCACAGTACCCTGGAGGACTGAGTACTGGAGCGTACCCTGGAGGACTGAGTACTGGAGCAAGCACAGTACCCTGGAGGACTGAGTACTGGAGCAAGCACAGTACCCTGGAGGACTGAGTACTGGAGCAAGCACAGTACCCTGGAGGACTGAGTACTGGAGCAAGCACAGTACCCTGGGGGACTGAGTACTGGAGCAAGCACAGTACCCTGGAGGACTGAGTACTGGAGCAAGCACAGTACCCTGGGGGACGTGAGTACTGGAGCAAGCACAGTACCCTGGAGGACTGAGTACTGGAGCAAGCACAGTACCCTGGGGGACGTGAGTACTGGAGCAAGCACAGTACCCTGGAGGACTGAGTACTGGAGCAAGCACAGTACCCTGGAGGACTGAGTACTGGAGCAAGCACAGTACCCTGGAGGACTGAGTACTGGAGCAAGCACAGTACCCTGGGGGACTGAGTACTGGAGCAAGCACAGTACCCTGGAGGACTGAGTACTGGAGCAAGCACAGTACCCTGGAGGGACTAAGATTTTCACAGTGGATGTCCGGATTTGACTTAGTTGACTACTACACACTGGGTTCATTAGGGAGTTAGAGATCCGTCTATCTGCTTCATCAGTAGTATATTTTGTGAACACCATGGTCTCACCTGTTGAACGTTTTTGCTAAATCTTGTGAAAATTACATCAGAGTTTTGCTCGTCTTCCATGGCCTATAACACCATGTGATTGTGGTCCAGCAACTGTGAGAAAGTGTTGTGCTTGCCCTGTGTGTGTGTGTGTGCTTGCCCTGTGTGTGTGTGTGTGTGCTTGCCCTGTGTGTGTGTGCTTGCCCTGTGTGTGTGTGTGTGCTTGCCTTGTGTGTGTGTGTGCTTGCCTTGTGTGTGTGTGTGCTTGCCTTGTGTGTGTGTGTGCTTGCCTTGTGTGTGTGTGTGCTTGCCTGTGTGTGTGTGTGCTTGCCCTTTGTGTGTGTGTGTGCTTGCCCTGTGTGTGTGTGTGCTTGCCCTGTGTGTGTGTGTGTGCTTGCCCTGTGTGTGTGCTTGCCCTGTGTGTGTGTGCTTGCCCTGTGTGTGTGTGCTTGCCCTGTGTGTGTGTGCTTGCCCTGTGTGTGTGTGCTTGCCCTGTGTGTGTGTGCTTGCCCTGTGTGTGTGTGTGCTTGCCCTGTGTGTGTGTGTGCTTGCCCTGTGTGTGTGTGCTTGCCGTGTCTGTGTGTGCTTGCCCTGTGTGTGTGTGTGCTTGCCCTGTGTGTGTGTGTGCTTGCCCTGTGTGTGTGTGTGCTTGCCCTGTGTGTGTGTGTGCTTGCCCTGTGTGTGTGTGTGCTTGCCCTGTGTGTGTGTGCTTGCCCTGTGTGTGTGTGCTTGCCCTGTGTCTGTGTGCTTGCCCTGTGTGTGTGTGCTTGCCCTGAGTGTGTGTGCTTGCCCTGAGTGTGTGTGCTTGCCCTGTGTGTGTGTGTGTGTGTGCTTGCCCTGTGTGTGTGTGTGCTTGCCCTGTGTGTGTGTGTGTGCTTGCCCTGTGTGTGTGTGTGTGCTTGCCCTGTGTGTGTGTGTGTGTGTGTGTACAAGTGAGAGGCTTGCCCTGTGTGTGTGTGTGTGTGTGTGCTTGCCCGAGTGAGTGTGTGGTTGCCCCGAGTGTGTGTGTGCTTGCCCCGAGTGAGTGTGTGCTTGCCCCGAGTGAGTGTGTGCTTGCCCCGAGTGTGTGTGTGCTTGCCCCGAGTGTGTGTGTGCTTGCCCCGAGTGTGTGTGTGCTTGCCCCGAGTGTGTGTGTGCTTGCCCCGAGTGTGTGTGTGCTTGCCCCGAGTGTGTGTGTGCTTGCCCCGAGTGTGTGTGTGCTTGCCCCGAGTGTGTGTGTGCTTGCCCCGAGTGTGTGTGTGCTTGCCCCGAGTGTGTGTGTGCTTGCCCCGAGTGTGTGTGTGCTTGCCCCGAGTGTGTGTGTGTTTGCCCTGTGTGTGTGTTTGCCCTGTGTGTGTGTTTGCCCTGTGTGTGTGTGTGTGTTTGCCCTGTGTGTGTGTGTTTGCCCTGTGTGTGTGTGTGTGTTTGCCCTGTGTGTGTGTGTGTGTTTGCCCTGTGTGTGTGTGTGCTTGCCCTGTGTGTGTGTGTGCTTGCCCTGAGTGTGTGTATGCTTGCCCTGAGTGTGTGTATGCTTGCCCTGAGTGTGTGTGCTTGCCCTGAGTGTGTGCGCTTGCCCTATGTGTGTATGCTTGCCCTGAGTGTGTGTGCTTGCCCTGAGTGTGTGCGCTTGCCCTATATGTGTGTGCTTGCCCTGTTCATGCAGATGAACAGGGCAAGAACAGCGCTCTGTTCTGAACCCGTCTTGCCCGGGAGGAGGGGAGGTATATAGATGCTGTGATTCCATGTGTTCTGTGATTTTCTTCGTAGCCCTTCATGATGTATCCCAAGTTTCTTGTCGTATGTGAAAGGAGATTGAGTTCTGGTATCCATATCTGTCATAATCATTTGTTTAAGCTGCTGACATTGCATTTGTCTCATTTGTGACCAGTCGTTAAGAGGACTTATTTAAGACACAGCGACTGCTGTTGCTGTTTCTTTTTCTTCTTCTTATCATTCTTCTTCCGAAAAGGCATTTGATAAATATGACCATGGAGTGATAACACACAATCTTGAGATCTTGAGGTTATCTTGAGATGATTTCGGGGCTTTATTGTCCCCGCGGCCCGGTCCTCGACCAGGCCTCCACCCTCAGGAAGCAGCCCGTGACAGCTGACTAACACCCAGGTACCTATTTTACTGCTAGGTAACAGGGGCATAGGGTGAAAGAAACTCTGCCCATTGTTTCTCGCCGGCGCCCGGGATCGAACCCGGGACCACAGGATCACAAGTCCAGTGTCCTGCCCGCTCGGCCGACCGGCTCCCGGCCGACCACAAAATGAGATCACTGGAAAAAACTGGTAAAGTAGGACACTGGATACTCAATTTCCTGTCGAACAGAACAGAGAGAGTAACAGTCAATCAAATAAAATCGAGTCTAAGCGCAGTTAAAAGCTCTGTACCTCAAGGTACAGTCCTTGCACCACTGCTGTTCCTTATTCTCATATCAGATACAGACAAAAATACAAGTCACAGCTTCGTGTCATCCTTTGCAGATGACACAAAAATCAGTATGAAAATTACCTCTGAATTACAGAAATTACCTCTGCTGAAGACAGTGATAAACTACAAACAGATATTAATAAAGTTTTCGACTGGGCAGCAGAAAATAACATGATGTTTAACAGTGATAAATTCCAGGTACTCAGGTACGGCAAAAATGAGGACCTTAAACATAAAACAGGGTACAAAACACAATCAAATCTGCCCATAATAGGCAAGCAACATGTAAAGGATTTGGGAATAATGATGTCCGACGACCTAACGTTTAGGGAGCATAACCAAGCAAATATTGCGTCAGTCAGAAAAATGATAGGATGGATCTAATTACGGGTTGTATATGGTTTAATAAATCTAGTTATGGGTTATATATGGTTTGATATATCTAATTACGGGTTGTACATGGTTTAATAAATCAAATTATGGGTTATATATGGTTTGATATATCTAATTACGGGTTGTATATGGTTTAATAAATCAAATTATGGGTTATATATGGTTTAATAAATCAAATTATGGGTTATATATGGTTTAATAAATCAAATTATGGGTTATATATGGTTTAATAAATCAAATTATGGGTTATATATGGTTTAATAAATCAAATTATGGGTTATATATGGTTTAATAAATCTAATTACGGTTTGTACAGTGAATTTACTTCTTGGATTGCTTAAATTTAATTTTTTAAATTTAAAAATTTAAAGTTTCAAAGTGTAAATTTAGTTGTTGGCTTCATATACGAGTTATTTATCAGTCGTATTAATTGCTAAAGTAAACAAACAATTTATATACAGTGTTTGTCCTTGTTTTAATTGTTTTTTGTTTATTTGTTTCAGTATTACGAGATGTCCTACGGTCTCAACGTCGAGATGCATAAACAGGTAAGTGCTGCCCTTACTAGTGTATGTATACCAGCATACACGCTCATGTATACCAGCATACACGCTCATGTATACCAGCATACACGCTCATGTATACCAGCATACACGCTCATGTATACCAGCATACACGCTCATGTATACCAGCATTCACGCTCATGTATACCAGCATACACGCTCATGTATACCAGCATACTCGCTCATGTATACCAGCATACTCGCTCATGTATACCAGCATACACGCTCATGTATACCAGCATACACGCTCATGTATACCAGCATACACGCTCATGTATACCAGCATACACGCTCATGTATACCAGCATACACGCTCATGTATACCAGCATACACGCTCATGTATACCAGCATACACGCTCATGTATACCAGCATACACGCTCATGTATACCAGCATACTCGCTCATGTATACCAGCATACTCATGTATACCAGCATACACGCTCATGTATACCAGCATACACGCTCATGTATACCAGCATACACGCTCATGTATACCAGCATACACGCTCATGTATACCAGCATACACGCTCATGTATACCAGCATACACGCTCATGTATACCAGCATACACGCTCATGTATACCAGCATACACGCTCATGTATACCAGCATACACGCTCATGTATACCAGCATACACGCTCATGTATACCAGCATACACGCTCATGTATACCAGCATACACGCTCATGTATACCAGCATACACGCTCATGTATACCAGCATACACGCTCATGTATACCAGCATACACGCTCATGTATACCAGCATACACGCTCATGTATACCAGCATACACGCTCATGTATACCAGCATACACGCTCATGTATACCAGCATACACGCTCATGTATACCAGCATACACGCTCATGTATACCAGCATACACGCTCATGTATACCAGCATACACGCTCATGTATACCAGCATACACGCTCATGTATACCAGCATACACGCTCATGTATACCAGCATACACGCTCATGTATACCAGCATACACGCTCATGTATACCAGCATACACGCTCATGTATACCAGCATACAAACTTATGTATACCAGCATACACGCTCATGTATACCAACATACTCATGTGTACCAGCATACACAATCATGTATATACCAGCATACACAATCGTGCATATACCAGCATACACAATTATGCATATACCAGCATACTCATGTATACCAGCATACTCATGTATACCAGCATACAAACTTATGTATACCAGCATACACAATTATGCATATACCATCATACAGACACATGTATGTATATATTTATAGTGTCCAGGAGTGGTTATTGAAGACTGTCCAAGGATAGAGGATAGAAGCTTGTGATTGTCCAAGGATAGAGGATAGAAGCTTGTGATTGTCCAAGGATAGAGGATAGAAGCTTGTGATTGTCCAAGGATAGAGGATAGAAGCTTGTGATTGTCCAAGGATAGAGGATAGAAGCTTGTGATTGTCCAAGGATAGAGGATAGAAGCTTGTGATTGTCCAAGGATAGAGGATAGAAGCTTGTGATTGTCCAAGGATAGAGGATAGAAGCTTGTGATTGTCCAAGGATAGAGGATAGAAGCTTGTGATTGTCCAAGGATAGAGGATAGAAGCTTGTGATTGTCCAAGGATAGAGGATAGAAGCTTGTGATTGTCCAAGGATAGAGGATAGAAGCTTGTGATTGTCCAAGGATAGAGGATAGAAGCTTGTGATTGTCCAAGGATAGAGGATAGAAGCTTGTGATTGTCCAAGGATAGAGGATAGAAGCTTGTGATTGTCCAAGGATAGAGGATAGAAGCTTGTGATTGTCCAAGGATAGAGGATAGAAGCTTGTGATTGTCCAAGGATAGAGGATAGAAGCTTGTGATTGTCCAAGGATAGAGGATAGAAGCTTGTGATTGTCCAAGGATAGAGGATAGAAGCTTGTGATTGTCCAAGGATAGAGGATAGAAGCTTGTGATTGTCCAAGGATAGAGGATAGAAGCTTGTGATTGTCCAAGGATAGAGGATAGAAGCTTGTGATTGTCCAAGGATAGAGGATAGAAGCTTGTGATTGTCCAAGGATAGAGGATAGAAGCTTGTGATTGTCCAAGGATAGAGGATAGAAGCTTGTGATTGTCCAAGGATAGAGGATAGAAGCTTGTGATTGTCCAAGGATAGAGGATAGAAGCTTGTGATTGTCCAAGGATAGAGGATAGAAGCTTGTGATTGTCCAAGGATAGAGGATAGAAGCTTGTGATTGTCCAAGGATAGAGGATAGAAGCTTGTGATTGTCCAAGGATAGAGGATAGAAGCTTGTGATTGTCCAAGGATAGAGGATAGAAGCTTGTAATTGTCCAAGGATAGAGGATAGAAGCTTGTGATTGTCCAAGGATAGAGGATAGAAGCTTGTGATTGTCCAAGGATAGAGGATAGAAGCTTGTGATTGTCCAAGGATAGAGGATAGAAGCTTGTGATTGTCCAAGGATAGAGGATAGAAGCTTGTGATTGTCCAAGGATAGAGGATAGAAGCTTGTGATTGTCCAAGGATAGAGGATAGAAGCTTGTGATTGTCCAAGGATAGAGGATAGAAGCTTGTGATTGTCCAAGGATAGAGGATAGAAGCTTGTGATTGTCCAAGGATAGAGGATAGAAGCTTGTGATTAAACTCGACCAATATGTTTGTATTTAAGTAAGATATATTGCCGGAATAAGAATGGAAGTTTTTAAAGAGAAAACTAATAGTATTCTGTAAGACGTGCCGGACCAACCAGGCTGTAGTGGGCCTGCGGGCCGCTACAGTCAACAGCCTGTTGGACCAAGTTATCACAAATCAAGAGTCCGGTATCCGGTGTCCCTGTGTCCGGTATCGGTAATTACCGGCCATAATTACCGGGAGGTTGTTATGGCTGGTGTAATCTAGTAACGCTAATGACGTGACGTCATCAAAATACGTTCTGTGAAGAGCCCAATTGGTCCTGTCATTAACACGTGCCAAGCTGCAGTTGACGTCATGGCAGGTGTTGTCCAATCAGAGGGCTAGTTGCATGTGACGTCACTGAGAACTTATCCAGTCTTTAATTTTACCTTTAGTCCAAGGGGAGCCTTTAATTTTACAGCTTAATAAAACGGCATCCAATCAGGGCGTTTTAATTGTATGACATCGTTATCAGGGTGGGAGGAGCCGTTTTGGCACTGTGGGAGGAGCCGTTTTGGCACTGTGGGAGGAGCCGTTTTGGCACTGTGGGAGGAGCCGTTTTGGCACTGTGGGAGGAGTCGTTTTGGCACTGGCTCTACAACCACCTCCCCCCCCCCCCTTCACAACCACCTCCCTCCCCCACCTCACACATGACTAACCACAATACACACATGACTAACCACAATACACACATGACTAACCACAATACACACATGACTGACCACAATACACACATGACTGACCACAATACACACATGACTAACCACAATACACACATGACTAACCACAATACACACATGAGGGCTCAAGATCAATAAATCAGGTATTAAAATTCATATAAAGAACAATAAACAAAACAAAACATTGTTTATTCTTTATACAGAATAAACAAGGTTGTTTATGTTAACAACAACTATGTGAACAATGATAGGATGGATTACGAGAACCTTCAAATCCAGGGATCCCATCACAATGGTTGTACTCTTCAAGTCACTTGTGTTGTCCCGTCTTGAGTACTGCTCAGTACTCGCTTCCCCCTTCAGAGCAGGAGAGATTGCTGAAATAGAGGGAATACAGAGAACATATACGGCACGCATAGACGAGATAAAACACCTAAATTATTGGGATCGTCTCAAAGCTCTCCAAATGTACTCACTAGAAAGGAGACGAGAGAGATACCAAATAATATACACATGGACAATACTGGAGGGTCAGGTCCCTAATCTACACAGTAAAATAACAGCGTACTGGAGTGAACGATATGGAAGAAAATGTAGAATAGAACCAATGAAGAGCAGAGGTGCCATAGGCACAATCAGAGAACACTGTGTAAACATCAGAGGTCCGCGGTTGTTCAACGTCCTCCCAGTGACTATAAGAAATATTGCCGGAACAACCGTGGACATCTTCAAGAGGAATCTAGATAGTTTTCTTCAAGGAGTACCGGACCAACCGGGCTGTCGTGGATATGTGGGCCTGCGGGCCGCTCCAAGCAACAGCCTGGTGGACCAAACTCTCACAAGTCAAGCCTGGCCTCAGGCCGGGCTTGGGGAGTAGAACAACTCCCAGAACCCCATCAACCAGGTAGTTGTACTCGCCTAGTTGTGCGTGTGGGGGTTTGGCTCTTTGGTCTCGCCAGAGAGACCTCGTCTCGTCAATCTACCTGTGTACAGATTCCTGAGCTCCTCGAGCTCTCTCGTGTGTGTGTGTGTGCGTGCGTGTGTGTGTGCGTGCGTGTGTGTGTGCGCGCGCGTGTGTGTGCGCGCGCGCGTGTGTGTGTGTACTCACCTATACTCACCTATATGTGCTTGCAGGATCGAGCATTGACTCTTGGATCCCGCCTTTCTAGCTATCGGTTGTTTACAGCAATGACTCCTGTCCCATTTCCCTATCATACCTAGTTTTAAAAGTATGAATAGTATTTGCTTCCACAACCTGTTCCCCAAGTGCATTCCATTTTTCTACTACTCTCACGCTAAAAGAAAACTTCCTAACATCTCTGTGACTCATCTGAGTTTCCAGTTTCCACCCATGTCCCCTCGTTCTGTTATTATTACGTGTGAACATTTCATCTATTTCCACTTTGTCAATTCCCCTGAGTATTTTATATGTCCCTATCATATCTCCTCTCTCCCTTCTTTTCTCTAGTGTCGTAAGGTTCAGTTCCTTCAGCCGCTCTTCATATCCCATCCCTCGTAGCTCTGGGACAAGCCTCGTCGCAAACCTCTGAACCTTCTCCAGTTTCTTTATGTGTTTCTTCAGGTGGGGGCTCCATGATGGCGCGGCATACTCTAAGACGGGTCTCACGTAGGCAGTGTAA